TAATTGGCTGATTTGCATGTGACAATCACTCAACATTCGTGTAACCATTGTCCATATTTGGGACGTTCTCCCCTGTTGATACAACTCATAGGGGTATACACGTTTCTGCCCCTTTTTTCTACTTTGTGCGATGCAGATTACCCATTATCAATTTCCAAATTAGTACATGTCAAATATGTAAAATCTACACGTTCAAAATTATTAACGCGTTATGTCTTTTCTTCTATCTTTTACCATTTGTTAGTCGCCGTTTTTAAGTATCATTTCTTTGGTTGTTTGTCCTTGGTCGTTTTATATATTTTTCGTGCTTTAATTTTATCGTTTCTTAGTATTTTGTCTTATTGTTTTATTTTTATTTTTTTTTTAGTCGTCCTTCTTTGGAAGTGGTTTTTTTTTGGTTCCTAGTGTTTTGTATCCTATATTTTTTGTGTTTCGTTTTTTTATTTCATCTTTTTTCAATACTTTACTTTATTTTTTAGTTATCGCTCTCTAGAATGATTTTTTTGGTTCCTAGTGTTTTGTATCCTATATTTTTGTGTTTCATTTTTTTTATTCATCTTTTTTCAATACTTTACTTTATTTTTTAGTTTCATACTCTAAAGCGGTTTTTTTGGTTCCTAGTGTTTTGTATCCTATATTTTTTGTGTTTTGTTTTTTTATTTCATCTTTTTTCAATACTTTACTTTATTTTTTAGTTATCGCTCTCTAGAATGATTTTTTTTGGTTCCTAGTGTTTTGTATCCTATATTTTTGTGTTTCATTTTTTTTATTTATCTTTTTTCAATACTTTACTTTATTTTTTAGTTATCACTTTCTAGAATGATTTTTTTTGGTTCCTAGTGTTTTGTATCCTATATTTTTTGTGTTTCATTTTTTTATTTCATCTTTTTTTAATACTTTACTTTATTTTTTAGTTGTCGTCCTCTAGAGTGGTTTTTTTGGTTCCTAGTGTTTTGTATCCTATATTTTTTGTATTTTATTTTTTTATTTTATTTTTTTTCAATAGTTTACTTTATTTTTTAGTTGTCGTCCTCTAGAGTGGTTTTTTTGGTTCCTAGTGTTTTGTATCCTATATTTTTGTGGTTTGTTTATATTTTTGTTTTATTTTATTTAAATTATCATTTTGTAGTCGTCGATATTTCGGTGGTTTTTTTTTAGGCGGCTCAACCTACGAGATACACCTCTACGTGGTGGTTGGGACGAGTAGGAGAATTAGTCTCCGAAACCAAGTATCTCGATATATTATTTTTACTGTATGATTTTGTATTTTTAAATAAAAAAGTATTAATAGTAAAACCTTTGAATTCGAAGTTTATAATAAATATTAATGTAATTTTTGTAATTTTTTATAAATAAAAAAATAAATAAAAATCTTAATTAAATTCGAAGTCTATAATAAATGTTGTTAATGCTAAAATAAAATTAAGAATGTATTATACTATACTGATTTTGAGTTAATTAAAATCGATTTTATAGTTGTTAAACAAAATCAAGCAACTTTATACTAAATTTATAAAGTAAAAAAAATTGCTTGAATCTAACACTAATTAATATTAAATTAGAGCGATTCTCCCTTATATCTAAAATTTATTAATAATTAAAATTTTTGATAAAAAATTTAATAGAAACCATTTTACAACGTTGAAGACTTTCTAGAATTAAAGATGTTAAAAGTTCGGTACGGTATGTTCCAATTCCAATTGGACTAAGTAATTGTTAAGTAACACTAGACTATAATATTATAGTGTCATTGTAAATGAGAGATATAGAGTATACAGTATCCACCAACATGCTTAACTATAGTCAATATAGAATCGATAGAAATCAAATCTGAACCTTGATCTTTAGTTTTATTTTAGTCATTAAACCCTCGTTAATAATAAATTATTTAACCTATGTAAATGGATCTAACAGCTAAAATATGAGCGTGGCCGAGCTCAAATTTTTGAATGATATTCGAAATAATCCGAATTGGTAGCAGAACATTCGAAGTTTCTATTTTAACCAGCACAGAATTCATAAATTATATAATGCACGGATTTTTTACTTGGATATTGATAACTAACGTGGAATTCATATTTAATGCACGTAATTTTTACAGAATTAAAGTATAAAGAATTAAATCAATATTTGTAAACGAAAATCACAATGTAATTTATAACTTATAAATAATCATAACCTATATTTTTCGTAGGTTAAATATGCCGATAAAATCGGGTTCTATAATCAATTTTTGTAAAACCAAAGTTACAAATCAAAATCTCATAAATGATATAATCAAGGGTCTTACCACTAAAGAAAATGATGAGAAAGTAATTCCTACAGTAATTCTTTATGACGATCGTGGCTTACAGCTTTTTGACAAGATAACCTACATTGACGAATATTATTTAACAAATTGTGAGATCGATATTTTGAATAAATATGTTGATCAACTTACCGACTCTGGTAGTAGTTTAATTGAACTTGGAGCCGGGTAAGAATAAAACAAAAATCATCTTGCTACAGTATATATATCCCGATCAAATCGAAAACTCGTTCAACATTGTAGCTTACCATCGAAGTATTAAATACGACGGACCCCGACATCTTTAAAAATGAGAAATTGACTTAAGTGAAATTTGTATTTCTAAATAGGTTTTCAATTAAAGATGGTTCTTCATTTAAGCTAATAAAAAAAAAAAATAGGGAGGTATTGTTTTCGAATTATATTGGGATCATGCACCAAAAACTTGTAAAAATTTTTACGAATTGGTATGCTTTACTTTGTTGTTATCGTTAATTATCATTGTTATTGTTAAACAATTTGATATTGTAATTTTTATTTGTTGATGATCCTTAATGTTAGGCAAAGCGGGGATATTACGATAATGTTATTGTATGGCTTTAAATTTTATTAATATATTGCTTTGAAATAATTTAAATTACATATTTGATCATTACAGTTCCATAGAATAATTGAGGTAAGCTATTATTGTCATAATTTTACATATTTGATATGCGAACTTATAATCTTCAGGATTTCGTTATACAGGGAGGTGATCCGGTCGTGGAGGTTCATCAATCTATGGGCAACTCATCAATTTATGCTATATTTCTTCCAATTATTTATCTTATTGTTTAACTTTGTCTTATTATAACCACATTAATATTTTCAATTACATTAACAGTAGAGCTTTTGAAGATGAGATTCATCCTGAATTAAAGCATACAGGTGCTGGTATTTTAATTCTGGATCAAATACAAATGGTAGTCAGGTAATTGTAATTTTGCTCGTGTTCAATTTTTTATATAATGCGTTATAATCTTATGTTTTTAAAGTTTTTCATAACATTGGCACCTACACCGTGGCTGGACGGTATACCTTTTTTCTCATATTTATTTTTCATTAAGGAATAAATAAATTTTACAACTTAATAACGCCTTTTATCAAAATGTTGAAAATAGGAAAACACTAGTTGTTTTAAGTGTGATTCCGATGATAGGTAAGCATTTTCTTTAGTACATATTATTTGTATTTATGGCTGAGGGTATATATGTATGAGAATTTTTTTTTTCCTGTATTAAATAATTCCTTTTTTATCATATTTACAATTAAGTTTTGGACTTCATAATTACAAATTTTTTTGTTAATTCTTTATATTTAGACCAGTAACAGAAGTAAAGATTTTATCTGCAAAAGTTGTTGATTAAATTAAAAAAGGTAAGTTTGTAAGCTCAAACTGCTATTTTAATTATTTAATGTTGGTATATCATATTATATTATTTGATTTGTAAAATGCAGTTATAAAAAGTGTTTCAATCGGCATATATCAAACGATTAGTTTGATTTGAATAGGTAACGGTAATGTAATTTAAGGTATGTGAATATGCCTAGTGTTGCACATTAGCTGTAAAATTATTTATAATCTTATTTTTATTTACATAATCTTTTAACAGTTGCTAATATATGATGCTCGATGTAAACATCCAATTCTATCATAGTTTTGACCAAAATTGATTATGTTGAAAAAACAAGAAAGTGATTGCATTAAGAGTGATTGCATTAAGAGTGATCGTTGGCTCGAATAACTGGATCAACATATTTCACTTTCCAAAGTTTGATTTGTGATATGGTACTTCTCACTTCGATATGTTCATTTTATACAAAAATCACAATTTTTTTTTTTTTTACATACCTCTTACAAATATAATCATTAATTTTCGCATTGGTCTTCTAACGCCAATTGTTCATATTCTTCCAAATGCCATCCAATTTTGGATTTTGGCACCTTGAAATGATGAATATTATGTGCTAATAATCGAATAATCTTATCACTAAAAATATTAAGCAGTTTAGAAATTGTCCAAACATTCAAAACTCGATACATATTTATGTATAACGTACTTGGCTTTAGTTTGACACCAAATACAATAATCATCCAACCATATCTTGGAGTACACGTAATAAATATCATGGTGATCAAATATATCCTTCATTTCAAGCAAAACCTTTAAAATCGCTCGTCGGCCTAGCTTTAGAAGAACATATACGTCGTCAAGGCATTTTTCTGATAACTCAAAATTTCGACGCCACGGATATGATAATGATCGACGAAATAATGCAATAATTGTTTCTTCGAGAGAACTAAATTCCTAAAAAAAAAAAAAAAAAAGTAGAATGTAGCATGTATCAAAATCAGTATTATTGTTAAAAACTTACCAACCTCAAGGCATGATATAGTTGGACTTAACTTTCCGATCGTCCACGAAGATTCTACTGTAATTTCGCCTTCATACACTCTATGATTGTAACTATACGCATATAATATATCAATTAATCCAAAATATATAGCGTCTGTGTTTTGTATAAGGTCTAGAAATTGAAATTGTTATTGATTTCCATTGAATTGATGTTCAAATCAATCGACTGCATTTATAATAGATACTTGCATGATTTGTTTGGCAAGTTCATCATCATCGAGATTTCTTTCTCGGTGAATTTCAAAATAATATCATTATTATCCTTATTATTTTCATCATTTGTTGCAACTGATGCAGACTTCGACTCAGCTATAGTATCGCGCAAGCTCTTTAAATGATGTGTGTATATGTCATTACATAAATTTCAACGAATTAACAGATATTAGGTTAAACTAGAATTACTTCTTTATCATCATCCACACCCGCGTTATTTTTAATAACTTGTATTCGCTTGAGTAGCTTCGTCCAATTAGTCTTGAATTTTATAAGGTGCTTTATCTCCTGAACATCCATAAAATCGGCACTATATCACATGTTTTAGAGTAGGAACCAACAGAATATTTTACCAAGCAATAAAAAATAAATTCGCTCACATATACTGATCTGGGTCAAATTTATCATCTTCAGCTTTGATTCGATCTCGACGACGGGATTCAAATGTAGAATTCTCTATATCAGTTATCTCGATAATTTCATTACACGTTTCTTGCACATGCGTGAAATAACCAGAGTAGAGTCCGTTAAAACCATAACTGGCTGTCACTGGGAAAATGTCCTAAGAAATGACAAAATTTGAAATTCGAAATTCCCACATGCCAAGACACAAACGCATACTGAAATCTTTAGCAACATTACCTTTTCATTTGGAAGTTGTTGCGGTAATTCCCAATCAAATGTATTTGCTAATTAATTAAAGATGAAACTAATTAAGCTTCTTTCTCACATTGTGTTTAAACCATTTTTGTCTCATTATGTACCCTCTTCTATTAGCTTCCGTATCTTTTGAGTTTCAGGGTCATCAGACTTGTCGATGATCTCCTGAATTAAAGGTTTATTAAACTTTTTATTTTGTTCTAAATTATTCTCAAAATTCTCAAGTAATCGTTTTACGAGATCATCATCATCATTAATATCTTCAACGTCATCGCACCCAACAACTTCAATAGATGGCCTTTCGGGCACTTTAATTTTTCTTGGTGCTAAAAGCTTTGTTAACATATCCAGATCCGGAAATTCCTCTCCAGGTGTTTCCTTTGGTATCCGTATTATCAATTCACCGCTTGCTATGTCAAATGAAGCTTTAACACGTTCATCCTCTACTAAATTACCTGGAAAATGGAGACTTTAAAAGAGGAGACGTAACTTTAATTTACTAAATTTTAATTGGATGCAATAATAATGATAATTTTTTTTTATGCGACCGACCGTAGATAATAGGGTTTTGCGTGAAAAGTGAAATCGGGACCATCGCTATATAATTCGACTTCCGTCACCTTAAATAACAATAACAATAACAATAACAAGCACAAGTTATTTAACATGCTAAATTTTAACTTGCGGTATAAACCAGTACATTACCTTTATGTAAGGTGCTCGAATATTAATCGTGACAAACGTTTGATCTTGGGAAACACTAAATACAGGAGTTATCATTGATGTAAACCGTGAGTGAATTTGAAAGTTTTTTTATCGTATTTATTGTTGATTAGGATTAAAGGTTAGAATTGACGAATGGTTGATTAAATATTTTTTCTTTCACTGATTTTCGTTGAGACTAGTGGTCAAGATCGGATTTTTGTTTTATTTTGGTAAAAACATCGATATAAGCTTACATAACCAAAAAAAAAAAAAAAATTCAGAATTCATCCAACCTATTATTAGAATCTGCAACTCATCATTAGAAAAGGATAAAATCTTTATTAAATTGGTTGAACGAAAAATGAAGCTTTTACTGTATGTTTATACACTAATTATGTTTTACAAAAGTTTTATAAAATTCGATTACTAATATCGTTATATTCTTTCACTATTATTAGCACAATGTAGACCTTTGCCCAATTTCATGACTAGATATTCCACTTGGCATTTCCCCATTTCTTCCAGTAATAAATTCTTCGTATCTGCACGAAAATGTAAAAAAACTTTGTAATTTAGAATAATTATAATAACAAATAGCAACTGAAGCTTTATCAAGAATTAATACATACATTGAAGCTAATCTTGCATATTCTTGTGGTGTTATTGAAGGTCGTGTAATTTTTAATGAATTTTGCATATGCTTGTTTGTGATTATCGCCTATAAATACCAAATTATTACCACTTTTTCCCATATTAGTAGATATAAATCAATAAAAATAAATACCGATCGCTTATTCTGTTCCTTCTCGTTTCCTTCTTCTATAACTTTCTCAGGTGAAAGGACCTTTTTGATGAGTCCAAGCTAAAGATTCCCAAATATGAGTTATTTAGAGACCAATTACATATAACGACAACTTTTATGTTTATATTTATATTACTCTTTCTGTTAGTTGTGATCTCTCAGCAGCCGTGAACGCAGCACTATTTTTCGAACTTGCGCTAAAACGGACAAACTGCATATCTCCACCATTAGATCTTGACGTTTTCTTTTCTAAGGATTTTTCAGAGTCAATAGTTTCATGAATTGCTTCAAGATGAGCATTATATAATAATGCTTGTAAATCGGCTCCTGAAAATCCTTGGCATTTTTTTGCATAATAACTTAAATCAACGTCATCATTTAAATCCATCTTACGGGCTAAAGCTTTCAAGATCTTTTTTGGATATGTTTGTGAATAATAAATTAATTCTTATTTTTAATATAATAAACTAATACATATATTCAAGTAATACGACTACCTCTACTCTTTCTTGTAAAGTAGGCATGTTGCAAAACAATGATTTATCTAAACGACCTGGTCTCAATAATGCGGGGTCAATGAGATCCGGACGACTTTAGATTTTGAATTTATCGTATTAGAATTATTATACCAAAATGTATTTTTTACTATTTCCATATATTATTTAAGTGATGCCTACCTTGTAGCAGCAAGGACATATACTCCATCAAGGCCTTCAGCGCCATCCATTTGAGTTAGCATTTGATTGACCACTCTGTCCGTAACGCCTGTGCTATCATGTCCTCTAATTATTTAAACATATTACATTAGCAACTTTTATTAAAACAATATAGCGTGTACGCAATGGATTAGCAGACCTTTTAGGAGCGATAGAATCAAACTCATCAAAAAATAAGGCGCAAGGTTTGGCAGCTTGTGCTCGCTCAAAAAGATCTCTCACCTACATGAAGATCTATCGATTAATAATTACAATCATTAAATTCACAGTAATATACATATAAATACAACTTTACCGATTTTTCACTAGCGCCAATATATTTATTCAATAATTCAGGACCTTTGACACTAATAAAATTGAGCCCACACTCTTTTGCGACAGCTGATGCCAATAATGTCTTGCCACAACCAGGAAATCCATATAGAAGGAGTCTGTCCAAAAATGTATGAACATGTAAATACATATATATATACATGATAATAGTACAATAAAAGTTTAAAATTACCCAGATCGCAGTCTAAGAGGACAATTGGCAAAAATAGACGCGTATTTTGTAGGCCATTCCAATGTCTCTAACAATACCTTTCGAGTTTCTTCAAGACCTCCTATATCAGTCCAGCTCACATTTGAAGTGTGTAATTTCACACCACGAAGTGAAGAAGGAACAAACCCTTTCTGTGCTTTTCGAAAATCATCTTGAATTAATAAGAAATCTGCTTCGTTGATGTTGTTTTCTAAATTCCTAACTGCACCCTCGTGTATTGTTCGCTCCACGAGTGTTCTAAGGTCTGCTGCTAAATAACCTTCACATTCACTTGCCACAGAAAGTAAATCAACGTTCGACACACTTTTTTTGGCAAGTTCAGGACCATAAGACATTATTGCCTTAAGAATCTATTAATGTTAATGATGCACACAATTATTTAATAAAGTTTCTTAATAAATTTAAAGCTATACATTTGTGATTCTATTTTTCATTTACCTCACATCTTTCTGATTTCGTTGGTGGGTTTAACTGAGCGATTTCACTGAACAAGTGACTTGTAGTGAGGAACGAGTGAATAGAAGACTGTTGTTGTGCTGTCGCCAAAATTGTGATACGATGCCTTTTTAGCATCTTTGATGCAATGTGGAAAAAGCACTCGCCTAGTTGCCGAAATCTGAAAGAATCCACATGCTAGGAAGAAAAAAAAAAAAAAAAGAGATAAAGCATTTAAATTTTTGTTAACATTAAGTTTAGCATAATTAATGCCTTAAGTGATCACACATACCTCAACTTCCGCTGGAATTAATCTATCAAGGTCATCAAACAGAAGTATACTAGGCGCATGCCAGGCAGCATCATCGAAAAAGGTTTGTAACTTTTCTCTTACAGATGATATACGATCCTCTGATAATTCAGTACATTTAATAACTGAGCAATCTATTTAAAAGTAAACTTTTTGTCAAGAATATTAACTTAAAGTTTCGCTAAATAAAGTAGCGATAACTCACATGCTAGAGTATTTAAATCTCGCTCTAAATAAGAAGCTACAGTTTTTGCAATACAAGTTTTTCCAGATCCATGTCCACCACATAATAATAATCCGCCCATGCCTTAAGAAAAAATAGTTAGACTATGATCGACAACCGAACAACTGATGCGATGAAAATTTCAGTATACCTGGAATATGCAAAATATTCCGTAAATCCGTTTTTCCAAGACAATATCGAAGGTATTTTTGCAGCCTTTGAGACAGTTTTTCAACACCAGCTAGTATAGGAAGATAATTATTATTGTGCCTAAATGAACACATAATAAAAATATTATTATTATAGCAAATAGTTCTCTATATGAAAAGTTGAAAGGCACATGTTATGAAGATTTCAGTCTTTCTATTTACTTACTGTTTTAAAAGCTTATGGTCAGCGTAAGCTATATTGTCACCAATTTCTATTTTCATATTATTCAAATGATTTTTTGAAACTATTGCATACATTTCTGAAGAATCGTTTCTTCCGTGCCGACCATCATTTTGACTAATCGATTTTCCACCAAAGAAAACTGCAACGTTTATATCACTATTTGTCAAAGACGACGATAATTTCATCCCATTTGTCAAGACAATATCTAAAGATGTTGATAGCTTCTCAATCCATGCTTAGTTATTTAGAAGTGCAAACATTATTTATTGTAGTTAGGTGTAAATGAAAGTGTTATTATGTTATTTACCATTAATTGATGTGGTTATAGCAGAAGTTGCGGATTTATCTACAGATGTTGAACTAATGAAAGATGAATAAACATTATAAAAGATTTTTATTATCTGGCAATTATGGTATTCACAAACCTAGCGCTGGAATGAGGCTTTAGCGAAGCAGATTGAAAAGGGCTTGATATACATCGAATTATTATGTGAGTTAATGAAGTAGAATGGAAATGCGGAAGAGCTAAGCTATATAAAAAATAAGACATTAGTCATGAATATAAATTTCTTAAAAACTATTAATATAAGTAGTATTTCATAATTCACCGAATGATATCAAACTTCTGCACATCCAGGACATCCATTATACTCTCACACAATACGATATGGCCAGGGACTACGCTGCCTTTCTCCAGTACTTTAACATATAATGCTGGTAGTGAATTGTTTCTGCCATCGTTGTCTGATTTATCTTCAGTTTCCTTGTTTTGATAGGGTGGTTGTACTTTAGATACACGTACAATTTTAGGATTTGGAAGCCCGATTCGTGCAAGATCACTCGGATGAATATATATTGTACAGAAATCATTGGCACTCGGTTGCAATAAATCAGAAGAAAGAAACGCCTGAGGTAAAACGCGCAAACAATATACACGAGCATTAAAAACGCCATTTGACGCGATATCTTTAATTTCTGCACTATTTTTTGTCTTTCTTGACTTGGGCGCCACAAAAATTTCAGTATTTTCGCTTAATTTAGCGCAAGGTCCCTTTGTATTAATATTGACTAAATAATGAAAGTTTTTCATTAAATGTCACATTATTTCTTTCATAAAGATAGAGATATATATCTATAGAAAACTAACTAATTTTTATCCGTGTAACGTTCGAATTGATCCAAAGCACTATAACCTCATTGGGATACACGACGCGTTGTTGATTAATAAAACAGTCTTCTAAATATTTACTATTACGTTCCTTTTAAGGACATATTTGATTAAAGAGATGTTTGGAGTGCTTTAGCGACAGATACACAGCAAAAACAAAACGTTACTATTATTTCCCAATCATCAGAGCTAATTGGTTCAACTTCTACAGAACTGGCTTCCAGTAATATATCCTCGAATTTAACATAAACCTACACATCATGTGATATTTAAAATTATTAGATCACATATGATAAGGTTGAAATATAAGTCAGGCTCTTACTTTTTGACCATTGTGTAAACCAATAGCTTCGCCAAATTGCGGGTCTATCTCGATAGTTTCGGAATGATCAGCTTTTGAAGGAAGTCCAGACCACCCAACATATGCTTTACCTTGTGCAATTTTAGCGTCATGCCAAGATAATTCTAGAATAACATTTTGTGGTAACTGTCAAAATGTAAATCTAAAGACGTGTCGCCTCGAAATAACGATAGAAAAAATATTTTTTATATGAATTAAGTACCTGGTTTTGTTCAGAAAGATATTGGACCCATTTAAATGGAAGATTTACAAAACAATTTGATGAGGGAGCGAAAGAAACAATTGCATGAGGCTGTTGAGACATTTCTGTCGAATTGTAGACCAAATTATTAAATTCATGTTCTTAACTATCGACAGGAATCTTAGTGATTGGCCTATCACAGTAGGGGTTGGGACACAGGTAGCACCGAAAAAAAGTGTCAGATTCTGCTCGAACTATCACGCTCTGATTGGACGAAATTGACGATCCTTAATAATATTTTTTTCGAAGATATCTCAGTACGTAACCACCTATCAAAATTTTTGTTAGGTAGTTACTGAGATATCTTCCTCAAAAGTTGAAAAAAATATTATTAAGGATCGTTAATTTCATCCAATCAGAGCGTGATAGTTCGAGTAGAATCTCACATGTCCGAAACCATAGTTGGCAAAAATTTGCCAGTCATCTAGTTACCGTAAATTGCCGCATAAACCACCCCCTTTATAGAAGACCCCCCTTCTAGTAGACCCGGGTCTGTTACTTGGATTCAGTGAAAGGTAAAA